TGGCAGGCAAGCCGCCCTGGGCTCTACACGTATGTGTTGTCACTATGGGCCCTACTCTGGGTTCCAGCGTCTCATTAGCTGGGTCCAGGGTGGAATGGCAGAAGGGACCTGCCCCAGGTCACCAAGCTGGTGTGCTTCTGTCTCCAAACCCTTCTATCCCACCCACTCTGTGCAGGGTCAGCTCCTGCCGGTCAGACTTCAGGAGACCCAGGGCCCCGCCTGTCCCACCTGTCTGTGATGGATGTGACCACCAGTTCCCTGCGACTCAACTGGGAGGCCCCACCCGGCGCCTTTGACTCCTTCCTGCTTCGTTATGGGGTCCCATCACCAAGCACTCTGGAGCCGCACCCACGTCCCCTGCTGCAGCGGGAGCTGACAGTGCCGGGGACGCGGCGCTCAGCCGTGCTCCGGGACCTGCGTCCTGGGACCCTGTACAGCCTTACGCTATATGGGCTGCGTGGGCCCCACAAGGCCGACAGCGTCCAGGGCTCCGCCCGTACCCTCAGCCCAAGTAAGGCCCCACACTGGGCACATACCCATGTGGCCCAAAGTGAGGGGTCTTTTTACAGCATGGGGTGAGAGCTAGTGCCTCAGCCAGAGGGGAGGCTGGTGCGCAGTGGAGGGCTGGGGGGGATCTACAGAGCAACTTCCATTTCTGTGTCGAGAGGAAAGGAGTGGTGGTGAGCATGTCGGGAGAAGGAGGGGTGGGAATCCTGGGACAGGAACCTCCCTGCCTCATGTTCTCACCATCATTGCGTGGCACACCCCTCCCTTCAGTTCTGGAGAGCCCCCGTGACCTCCAATTCAGCGAAATCGGGGAGACCTCAGCCAGGGTCAGCTGGATGCCCCCACCGTCCAGAGTGGACAGCTTCAAAGTTTCCTACCAGCTGGCAGATGGAGGTGACACCCTTTTGCCCATGCCCTCATTGGCTCCCATTTCTCCTCCACCCTCCACTCTGCCCACCCTGAGCAACTCCCGTCCTCCCTGGGCAACCTCCCAAGCTCACGGTGTTTTCAGGGGAGCCACAGAGCGTGCAAGTGGACGGCCGAGCCCGGACCCAGAAACTCAAGGGGCTGATCCCAGGTGCTCACTATGAGGTGACTGTGGTCTCCATCCGAGGCTTTGAGGAGAGTGAGCCCCTCACAGCCTTCCTCATCACGGGTGAGATGGACGAGACCCAGGCAGGCGCAGGGGAGAAAATGAGGGCATGGGTGGGAGCTGAGAGTGAATGGAAAAGGGAAGGGTGCGGGGTGGGGGTGGGGGTGGTGTATTGAAGGCCAAGGCTGCAGCTGCAGATGAGGCCCAGCAGAGTTTGGGAAGGTGAGGGGTGGGGACAGCTCTAAACCCCCTCTCTTCTGCCAGTTCCAGATGGCCCCACCCAACTGCGTGCACTGAACTTGACAGAGGGAAACACCGTGCTGCACTGGAAGCCACCTCAGGCTCCTGTGGACACCTATGACATCCAGGTCACAGCCCCAGGGGGTGAGCAGGGCTGAGGCCTCTGGAGGGGACTTGCTCAGGGTGGTGAGAGCAGAGGGCAGGCTGGGCTCCGGCAGAGCAGGGAAGCAGCAGACACTGATGGCTCCCCCACTCCCAGCCCCGCCTCTGCAGGCCTCAGCCCCGGGCAGCGCTGTGGACTACCCCCTGCATGGCCTTATGCTTCACACCAACTATACAGCAACTGTGCATGGCCTTCGGGGCCCCAACCTCACCTCTCCAGCCAGCATCATCTTCACCACAGGTACTTCCTGAGAGATGTGTGGGATGCGGGGGGAGGGGGGGGGTGCTTGGGAGCCACCAGGTCCTCCTCTCCATCTTCTCTTCCCCCTTCTCTTCCCAGGGTTGGAGGGCCCCTGGGACTTGGAGGCCAAGGAAGTGACCCCCCGCACAGCCCTGCTTACTTGGATTGAGCCCCAAGTCCCACCGACTGGCTACCTGCTCACCTACGACACCCCTGGTGGACAGATCCAGGTGCCCCACCGCCACCCCACTGGCCAGCTCCCCTCCCTGGGTTCCATTCCAGGAGGGGCGGCCTCTGCCTCTGCCTCTCCTGCAGGGGTTCCACCTCCCTCTCCCCGACCTGCCCCTTCTCTGTCCCCCAGAGTCTGCTCCCAGGAGGGGTCACTTCTCACCGGCTCCTGGGCCTGTTTCCCTCCACCACCTACAAAGCATGGCTCTGGGCCATGTGGGGCGAGAGCCTCGCGCCGCCCGTGTCCACTTCCTTCACCACAGGTACTTGGGTGCTGGGACCCGAGGCCCGGGGCTGAGTGGGCAGCAGGGGCCCGGGGTTTGGAAGCGGGACCGGTCCTACTCTCTTGTCCTCAGGTGGACTGCGCGTCCCCTTTCCCCGGGACTGTGGGGAGGAGATGCAGAACGGGCCCGGCACCTCGAGGACGACCACCATCTTCCTCAATGGCAACCGCGAGCGGCCCCTGAACGTGTTTTGTGACATGGAGACCGATGGGGGTGGCTGGCTGGTGGGTGGCCGCCGGAAGCCCAGGGATCTGCATGGGACCAGGGCTGGTGTGCCAGGAGTCATAAGCTGATGGTGCCCACCTGCTTTCCAGGTGTTCCAGCGCCGCCTGGATGGACACACAGACTTCTGGAGGGACTGGGAGGACTATGCTCACGGCTTTGGGAACATCTCCAGCGAGTTCTGGCTGGGTCAGTGCTTCACAGGGATTGGGGGGCCAGGGGAGGGATGGGGGCCCTGTGGACACCAGGACCCTGATGACAGCATGCTCCCCACCCCAGGCAACGAGGCCCTGCACAGCCTGACAAAAGCTGGGGACTACTCCATGCGTGTGGACCTGCGGGCTGGGGATGAGGCGGTGTTTGCCCAGTATGACTCCTTCCGGGTAGACTCAGCTGCTGACTACTACCGCCTCCACCTGGAGGGCTACCATGGCACAGCAGGTGAGGGCTGGGCCTGGGGGCAGAGGGGCAGGGGACTGGAGGCTCTCACTTATTCCCGCTCCCGCCAGGGGACTCCATGAGCTACCACAGTGGCAGCGTCTTCTCTGCCCGTGATCGAGACCCCAACAACTTGCTCATCTCCTGCGCTGTCTCCTACCGAGGGGCCTGGTGGTACAGGAACTGCCATTATGCCAACCTCAATGGGCTCTACGGGAGCACAGTGGACCACCAGGTGAGGAGCCGGAGGCAGCGCAAGCTGGGGGTGGTTGGGGCTCGGCCTGCCTGGGTGTGAGACGCAGTGTGACAGGACAGGTTACTGAGCCCCTTGGCGCCTCAGGGCCCTCATCTGTGAAATAGGACAATACTGCCACCTCACCAAGGTGTCTTGAGAAAGAGACGATTTATTGGATGGAGAGGGCCAGCTCAGGATTAAGCCTCAGTCCTTCGCAGTTGAGGGTTAGGAAGGCAGCAGGGAGGGAAGGTTGATTGATTTCTGGGAACTATCTCCCCAAAGGGTCTGGGGTGGGAGCAGATGGGATGTTCTGCTGTGACTCCCCACAACCTCCTTGCCAGGGAGTGAGCTGGTACCACTGGAAGGGCTTCGAGTTCTCCGTGCCCTTCACGGAAATGAAGCTGAGACCCAGAAGCTACCGGGCCCCCGCCTAGGGAGGCCGAGCCTCGGATCACCTCTCCCGCCCACGGATGACTGTGGAGCACTGAAGGACTGCGAGGAGAGAAGAGCCAGGGGCCCCCTTCACCGACCAGCCACCTGAGGAAGCCTCTACCCGCGATCTCACAGCATTATGTTTACAGGGGGGAGGGAAGGGGTTTGTGCGGGAGCAATAAAAGGAAAAACTGAGGCACCAGAGTGGCAGGTGTTTTGCCCATCACTGGCTCTCGCCCAAGCCAGGGGTCCCGGCTCCCCGAGGCTGCAGCCGCACCTGGAAAGGCTGCACAGTGAGGTTGACGCCGCAGTGGGGCTGGGGCTGCAGGGAGGGCAGGGCGCCCGCAGGCGGCAGCAGCGTGAAGGCCTGCAGCAGGCGCGCCAGCACCACGAACAGCTCGAGGCGCGCCAGCGGCTCGCCCAGGCACACACGCGCCCCGCAGCCAAAGGCCAGTGCGCTGGGGCTCGCTTCGGGCGCCAGGAAACGGTCTGCGGGGGGAGGTCAGACCCGGAGTCAGCGGCCGCAGGAACCCGGCCTGCGCTGCTCCCACCCGCGGGCACCCAGTCCCGCCACGCACCAGGCCGGAACTCGTGTGGCCGCTCCCAGACCGTCTCGTCCAGGTGGGCGCCTTGGAGGTTGGGGATGACAACCGTGTCCTCGGGGATGTCGTAGCCGAAGATGCTGAGGGCAGGGTGGAGTTAGAGGCCTGCCGGGACTCGGCTTGCGGTCCCACTCACCCCTACCTCTCGGGAGTCACCTGCTGGGCCGCGTAGTGCGGTGGGGCAGGGCCAGAGGCACCACCGGCCGCAGACGGAGCACCTCCGCGATGGTGGCGTTGAGCAAGGGCAGCCGTGAGCGGTCCTTATATGGGACCCGAGAGCCCCCGGCCCCGGGGCCCAGCTCTCGATCCAACTCCTCCTGAAGTCGCTGCTGAAACTGGGAAACGGGGGCAAGCCTGGTGTCGGGGCGCAGCCCTGCTGTTAGCCCACCTACGGCAGCCCAGCCGCGCCCTCTCCAGCCACGCCCTGGAACCGCCCCCCCCCAGAGGCTTTGTGCCCATTAGGAGAAGCCCCACCCCCACCCCTGGGCGAACACAGCCTGCTTGAGTGCGCAGAGCCAGGGTGCCAGGAAGGAGCCTTTGCCCGCCCCTAGGGCACACCTCAGGGTGGTGAAGCAAGAACGCCACAGCCCAGGACAGAGTGGTCGAAGTGGTCTCGGTGCCACCGATGAAAAGGTCCACCACAGACATATGCACGTGCCCTTCGAGGAGCTGTCCAGGGCCCTCTTCCACTCTGGGCTTCCCCACCCCCTGGAGCATGTAGTCCATCATGTCCCGCCACTGGCCTGCCACCATGCTCTCCTGGGGAGGGAGGGGTCAGCCTGAGTGCCTACCTGGGGCCCAAGATGGTGAGATGCCAAAGACGCTGCCTCGCTCTGGGGCAGTAGCTTCACTGGCTGTGGGCTGAGGGGGCCCGGTCCACGCAGTGCTTACCTTGTGCTGCCTCAGTTGCTTCTCTACAATGTGGTCCCTGTTCTCCATGGCCTGCTTCAGCTTCCGGAGGCCTGGGGAGGGGAAGAACTGGGCCAGGGAGCAGACGAGTGTAGCTGCTGGGAAGGAAGCCTGTGCCCCACCCCTTCTCCCAGGAGCCGGGGCTGTCTGGGTTTCATCTCCTCACCCTGAGAAAGGGAATGATGTCCAAAATTTGGACGGACCAGTGGTCCCAGGTTTTCATCAGGTCTTGGACACAGTCGTGAAAGGTATGTACTAAGGCATCCTCCTGCCAGAGAAGGAGGGAACCCTTTCAGTTCAGGATGAGGGGAGAGTCTGGGAGGGGCTGAGGGGTGGGCCCAGGTATCTGAGAGAAGAGAGCCTTGACCTTGTCTCCAAAGGTGAGGTAACAGATGATGCTGCAGGTGAGGAAAGAGAATTCCTTCTGGATGGCCACAGGGGCGCCGGCCTGGGCTCTCATTCGCTGTGGAGGAAGAGCGTGAACGAACCAGGCCAGGGCTGCTGGAATGGTGACGTTGACCTGGGGTGACTGTGGGAGTCCAGCCTCACCTCACAGAACTCCTGGGTCAGCTGCTCCACGAGGGGCTCCATGGAGCTGCGCACGCCCAGCAGCAGGGCGGAGCGGGTGAGTCTCTTGTGGGCCTTCCAGAGCAGGGAGTAGTCCCCAAGCGAGAGGTCCTGGTTGTGCCGGGACACCAGCTTGTCTGTGAGTAGGGGTTGGGGGGAGTCGAACGGACCAGGGGAGCCCCTGGCCTGACCTTCCCGCCTCCCTTGGCCCCGGCTTCTCCCCAACCCTTACATGATGGCATCTGGGGTCTGCCAGCAAAGTCCACCCACTTCCTGACCATGGCCTCCTCGATTGTCCTCTTAGAGTTCAGCACCACCACATCTGGGAGACAGCCAGAGCAGGGGGGTCAGCAGGGACAGCACCCCACCTCCCCACTGCGGTGGGCCAGGCAGGGAGCAGGCGCTCACCTTGCAGCCCGAGGCGGAGCCTGTAGATGGGCCCATGTTTCTGAGCCAGGCCAAGCAGATGCATGGGGAGGTTGGGCTGCCGCAGGTGCAGGAAGCCAGGGACAAGAGGTGGGCGGTGCAGGCTTCTGAGCTTCCACTGGCCCCGCAGCAGGCGGCTGCCGGCCAGCAGGCTCAGCAGCAGCAGCAGCAGCCCAAGGAGCAGCATGGCCACAGACTCGTGCAAAGGCCCTGGCCTGGCCACTTATAGCTCTCAAGGCCCCATCATCCATCTTGCTGCTCGGGCTGTCCCGGAGCCTCCGTTGACTCATTTCCTCAGGTCCCTGCCCACTGCCCCAACCATGAGAATAGCACATTCTTAGAGTGGCACCAAGCCCATTGGCCTTGGAGAGTCCACATTTCAAAGAGCAGGCCTGTCCTTCTTTCATCCATCAAGAAGAAAGGGAGGAAAGCTCAACCCTGACCTTTCTCCCACAGCCAGCATCAGCCTTCTGGCCCCACGTCAACAACGCAGGAAAACGTATCCCCTCTGGCCTGAGCCCTCTCCTACTACCACCCCACCTTGGGCCTGCTCACTGCAGCTGAGTTTGTCTCAGAGAGAAAATGGCAGTCCCTGCCTCATGTGCCCTCCAGGATTGTCTGAAGACCAGTGATGAAGATGAAAGTGACCTGTGTGTTGCTCTTTTAACCCACAGATGGCCTGGTTTGCCTGGGTTGTCCCAGTTTGTACACATAATCCCTGTGTAATTATTATCAGTGCCCCATTTCACTCTCAAAATTTGAAGATGAAGAATTATCTGGCCCCCAACTTGGAGCTCTTACCATGTACCTGGTACTTTTTGGTTGTAAGGGAAAGAGACCAACTCGAGGGGCTTGAGCTACAAGTAAGCATTGTTGTACAAATATAGGAGTGTGTCACAGACTCTGAGAGCAGGAGGCCAGGAGAGAGGGGACCTTCCTGGCAGGCCAGGGATAGAGAGCGGAGAAAGCCCTGGAGACGGGCTGTTTCCTCACTCCCCACCCCTCCCACCTCTTTGCCTGTGGTCCTGGCCCCTGTCCTCTCTCTGTAGCCCAGACGCTTGCATCCCAGGTGCAGGCAGGACAGGACTGCCTTTGGGGTTTGAGTCCACAGATTACAGGTCTGGCCAGAGGACAAGTGGGGCTTCCCAACACAACTGAATATGCCCCTGCCCCGATTCCAAGGTCCCCAGGAAGGAGCTCAATAGCCACAGCTGGGCTCAGGGGTCCAGCCCTATCCTGGGAGCTGTAGCCAGAAGAGGTAGGGTCCACATGGGCCAAGTAGGACTGTCAGGGACCACTTCTATGGGTGAGGCGGCAGTTGAGGGGCTTAGAGGAGGGGCTTGGGGAGAGCACATGCTGAAGAGGAGTGACAGGGCTCAGTGAGATGTTAGGGCCTCCTGGGGGCTGAGGGCTTGGAGGTGGCCTGAGGCCCATGCCATCCCCAATCCCCCTGCCCCGGCTCTGTGAACAGACCCCAGCACCCTGGGTGGAGGGTCCTTCTGCCTCAGAGCTTGGCCCAGAGCACAGGCTGTGCTGCTGGAGAGCCTGAGTTGAGATCCCAGCCGTGTCACCTATGAGCTTGAAGGGCTGTCCAGATGGAAGAGCTCAAGCCAGCGTTCTGGGGCTGGGCAGCAGTAGCTGCCACCTTCCTTAGCTGCCCTTCCACACCCAGGCCATGAATCCCTGGCTCTTACAAATAGGTTTATGCCACCAGCATGCTAACTGGCTTTGGGGAGCAAGATCTGATGAGCAAGCACAGGGCCATGCAAACCACAGCCCTAGGAAGCGTCTGAAATGCTGGGGCAGGTCGGAACTTCTAAGTTGCAGGGATAGGAGGGGACTCCTTCGCTAGGAGAGTGACCTGGAAAGCTGGCGTGCTTGTGAACATCCCTTCATAAATTGACTCCAACCCCATCTCTTCTACCCCCAGCCCAAATCCAAATTCCAGACATGGGGAGACCCATGCAGTGACCCCAAATATGCTCTGTCCTGCCCCAACCTCGGGCCTTTCATATTCTTTCTTCTGTCCCAAACACCCTCACCTACCCCCACTCTTTGCCTGACTCCTCGGCCTTCAGAACCCAACTAGATGTCACCTCCTCCAGGGAGCCTTCTCTGCCCCCTTTTCACATTCCCCCAGCCTGGCTCGGGTGCCCCAACTATGTGTCCCACAGGACCACACAGCTTCCCAACATCATTTCTCTCACAGAGGATGGGGACCTGGCATACAGGGCATGGAGTGAGAATCCCACGGATTTCTGCTGGATGATTGACTGGCAGGCTGCTGAACTGTCTCAGCAAATTTCTCTAGAAGGAGTTCTCCGTCAGCCCTGAAGACCCAAGGGATGCCACTAAATGGGGAGCTAGGCAGGCAGGTGAAGAGGGTTGACCCCAGTAGAGCAGTCTCTTCAGAGTATTAGCCAATACACCAAAGGCAGTCTTTTGGCTTGTTTAAAATCAATACCGGGAAGAAGAGATCATCAGATCTGGGGATGATGCAACTCTGGGAACATTACCTAATGCCACAGATAACACAACAGACCCCAGGAATGCCAACCGTACCAGGACAGAGCGGGAGATGAGTGGCTGGACAACCGCTCAGAAGGCAGAAGAGCTGAGGTGTGAGCTGAGCGCAGCCCTGCCTGAGGCCGCAGTGACTGGGTGCATGGGCCAGTGTAGCCCTGCAGGCACAACGCAAGG